GGTGACGCACGAGGAAAGGCCTTCAGCCAGTGCCTCTGCACCACGGCCCGCACTCACACGGGCAAAGGCCTGGGTGGGGTTATTTCAGCCGACCGCAGGAGTGGGAACCCACGGGAGGCCGCGGGTACCATGGCGCAGTGTAATGTCCCTCGAGCCCAGGAGCTGGCACGAACCGTGGCCAGAGCCATCCACTGCAAGCGGGAACAAATGGGGCGGTGCCTTCAGCCGGTCGACCCTGTCCACCGCGGGCCGGCAATGCGGCCAAAACCGTGGGTGGGCTTGTCTCAGCCGACCGCACGGGCTACACGCCCACGAGAAGTGGGGGTCTAACGCAGTGATGATCGCTCCCGACAGCGACGAAGGGGGAAGCCATTAAGCGCACAGCTGGACTTCAAGAGATGGGGCTGGTGGGGATACGCGAAGCGTCAAGTATTGGGTGAAGGTTCATCTCATGTCGTATCTTCTGTTCACACGTTGATTATGTAATGCACGCGTTGTTGTTACGAACAGGAAATATATCAAAACGTTGAACTGTGTGGCGATGCGAGTGCTGCGTAGGATCTTTGGAGACGTCCGTCATAAACAAGTAGAACACCACGATGTGGAGAGTTGTGTCCGTATGCAGGCCCCTTCGGTCGATTGCATCCTGCAGAGATCGCGCCTGGTCTACAACGGGCGTCTGTTGTGCAGTGGCCCCCACAGAGCTGTCGGCGCTCCTCACCTTCTGCGGCTGTTAGCTGCACCCTACCAGAGCAATACCATTCTTACCGCGGCTTTCAGCTGCACCCCACCAATGGACCAGCCCTGCCTTGTGTCAGGCGAAACTGTTGTTCCCCTTTCCGGCAACTGTTAGCTGCACCGTACCAGACCGCCAGGTCCCGTCGCTCGTGGCCGTCTACGGGCCTCCGCACCCGCCTGTGCCCCTGGCGTTGCCTCCGTTTTCATAGCTTCCTGCTGTGCCTGCCCTTTTCCGTCTAAGTGTTGTGGTTCAGCAGGTGAGCTTCTTTCCATATCCCAAGCGCCAACCCGGCATAAGATGATCGGGAAGCGCCCAGTTGTGGTCAAGAAGGCTAAGCAAGAGGTTGCAGAACGCCAGAAGCTCTTTCTCACGTGGGATGATCTAGTACCCCTTGGACACACATCGACGCTGCAATACAAAAGAGTGGGTGCTCTCTCATTGAAGTTCCAGGTATGGTCACAGCTACGGTCAAGCTTCCGCGGAAGGTTGTACTACCAGGTAAGGTGGTTCTCCGTGAACATCGCTTCGCAGTTCGCGGGCTTGCGCATGGACTACGGCGGCAAGCGCGCCCCTTGGAAAGAAGTCGTCGGTTTACGTCGGCCGGCTAATATGGAGGTGTGATCCCCGCCCTCCCCGTCCCTGGTCGTGGGCAGCCCACGCCTGCCCCCCGCCTGCCTCCCTGTCTGTCTGTTGCACCTCACCAGAGGGTCGGCGCACTGCTTGCGGAGTCACCCCCCTCCGGCCTGCGGCCGATGTTTGAATTCCAATTGCCCAGTGCGGTGGCTGTGCCCAATGCCAGCGCAGCAATGTCTCAGGCGGACCCTTCTCAATCTTCCTGCGGCTGTCAGCTGCGCCCTACCAGAGCAGGTCCATTCTTTTTGCGGCTGTCGCGTGCACCCTACCAGAGATTCGGCGCAACGCAGGCGGAGTGACCCCCCTCCGTCCTGCGGCTGCCGGTTATATCCGAACTGGGCAGCGTGGTGACTGTGCCCAACGCCAGCGCAGCAATTGTCTCCGGCGTGCCCTACTCAAACTTTCTGCGGCTGTCAGCTGCGCCCTACCAGAACACTTCCCATCTTGCTGCGGCTGTCAGCTGCGCCCTACCAGCGAACCGGCACCGCAGGTGGAGTGACCCCCGTCCGTCCTGCGGCTGACGTTTGGATTCCAATTGATCCGTGCTGTGCTATGCCCACTGCCAGCGCAGCAATGTCTCAGGCGAGCCCCACTCAATTTTTCTGCGGCTGTCAGCTGCACCCTGCCAGAACAATTCCCACCCTGCTGCGGCTGTCAGCTGAACCCTACCAGCGAGAAGGCACCGCAGGTGGAGTGACCCCTTTCCATTCTGCGGTGAACGTTTGGATCCGTACGGAGCAGCGGGGTGACCCAGGCTGTCCAATGCCAGCGCAGCAATATGTCTCAGGCGAACCCTTTCCCAATCTTTCTGCGGCTGTCAGCTGCACCCTCCCAGAGCGTACGCCGCCGGTCCCAGGCGTCGTCCCCCCCCCCCCCCCCCGCAGGAACTGGTTCTTTGCGTGTCTGCGCTGACCCCCATCGTGCTGTTGGCTTCAAGCGGCGGTCCCCCCGCCCTGGGTCGCATACGCGGCAGGTTGACGACCAATCCCCCCCCGCTGGTCTGGTACGTCACTGTCGCCACTGGGCTACTGTTTCGGCCCTGTTTCCTCGTCGCCCTGGGGCGTGCCCGTGCCCTTGGTGGCTCCTGGACGGCGTCAGCCATGCGGATTGATCTTATGGCCCTGGAGATGGCCTGCTGGATTGGACGACGCTTACTCTTATGGTCTGCGTCAGTGGCCACGTCGCTACCCCCCCACTTCGCTACCCCCCCAATTGCGACTCGGCTGACATGTCGCTCTACTTCAAGTCCCGGCTCCTTGGCAAGGAGCTTGTCCTCCACGTTGCCTGAGCCTGAGCTGCGGCGCGCCTGTCTTCTCCGCCGTGTCTCTTTTCGCCTCCCGTTCTCTTTCCTGTGCGCCCTCGTTTTCGCTGGTCCTTGCTCTTTCGCCCTCTTGTTCTTCGTCGCCTCGCCCTCTGTGTGCTTTCGTTCGTTTCTCCTCCGCCGCGTAGTTCTCGCCACTGTTCTTGCCCTTTTCCGCCAGTCCTGTTATGTTGGCCTGTCGTCTGACTACCTTGGCGGCGCGCAGCTGCTTGCGTCGCTCGCGATCAAAAAATCACCGCCGGCCCATCCAGAAACGATGCCCATGAGAGCTGACGGGGGGAAACAGGAAGAGACACACATAGTCAAACAGTGAGGAAGCCTGCCTGAACGGCGTGTTGCGGCGTCGGAAGACCATCGAGTACAGAAACGAAATGGCCAAACTCATGGATTTTCTGTCGGCTTTTGAAGGATGTCGGCGGCTTCTTGGTGGCCTCCAGGGGAGGCTCCGTGGCCATCTCGAGCCGTCTTGGAGCGGTCTTGGGGCCTTTTGGAACATCTTGGGATTCATCTTGAGCCAGCTTGGGTTATCGTGAGCCATCTTGGAGGTCATTTTGGGCTCCCTGAGGCCGCTCGGGGGCCTCTTGGGTGCTTCTCGGGTGCCTTTCGGAGGCCTCTTGGGGCTTCTGGGAGCTCTCTTGGGGGCTTCTTCGGAGCCCTGGGGGGCCTCTGGGTGCCATCTTGAAGGCGGTCGGTCAAAACAGGTAGGGTCGTCGATGTCTGCCCCTCCCTCGGGGGCCACGATCCTTGTGAAGGGTGTCAGACATTGGCCTTCCTACTGGCCGAAAAAAACCCTCAGACACATCGGTCCCCCCCCAAAAAAAAACCAGAGGGAGGGGAGGGGGATGGTTTCCCTCCCGGAAGGGAGGAGGGGTTGTGGATGAAAGAGATCACCCTTAGACCACCTGGTGGGATTATGTCTCACTTGGGAGTCAAAGGTCCTGGTCGCCAGCGGCGAAGAAGCCGCTAGCGTCCACGACACGTTTGCTACACAACGAGAGCATGGATCCGAGGTGATTGTACTGATCAACGACCTGGAGCCGACGATCACTGCCTGGCACAGGGAACGAGATACTGCCCTCGAACACATGTGATTTAAACACCTCACTCCTCCTCCTCCTCCTCTTCCTCCTCCTCCTCCTCCTGCTCCTCCTCCTCCTCCTACTCCCCCTCCTCCTCCTCCCCCTCTCTCCTCCGCCCCACTTCCTCCCCACTTTCTTCCCCTTGCTTCCCCTCCACTTCCACCGCCCTCAGCTCTTGTTCCTTCTCCACTTCCTCTACTTCCACCGCCCTCGTCAATCTGGCCATCTCCCCTTGGGGCCTCCGAAACGTCCGAGCTGCCGCCGCCCTCGGGCAGCCCGCCGTCCGGCGTGCCGCCGGAGCCAGAGGAACCCAGGGGGTCTTTGAGGATCGAGGAGGAGAGGGAGGAGGAGGAGGAGGCGGCGGAGGAGGAGGAGGGAGGATGAGGAGGATGAGGAGGAGGAGGATGAGGAGGCTGATGCTGATGCTGATGCTGATGCTCATGATGATGATGCTGATGCTGATGCTGCTGCTGCTGCTGATGATGATGATGATGATGATGATGATGATGATGATTTTGCGTGATTCCGTTTCTGATGCTGCTGATGCTGCTGATGCTGATAATGGTGATGATTGTGCTGATGATGATTGATGATGCTGATGCTGATGCTGATGCTGTTGCTGATGCTGCTGCTGATGCTGCTGATGATGACGATGCTTGTGATGCTGCTGCTGCTGATGATGATGATGATGATGATGATGGTGATGTTGATGATGATGTCGGTGATGATGAAGATTATGATGATGATGAGGAGGAGGAGGAGGAGGAGGAGGAAGAGGAGGGGGAGGAGGAGGAGGAGGAACGAGGAACGAGGGACGAGGACCAAGGAGGAGGAGGAGGAGGAGGAGGACGAGGACGATGACCAGGAAGAGGTGAAGGAGGAACCTAAGCATGAGAAGGATGGAGGACGAGGAGGATGAGGATGAGGATGATGATGAGGATGAGGATAAGGACAAGCATGAGGATGATAATGACGATGACGATGATGATGATGATGGTGATGATGATGATGATAATGATGATGAGGAGGATGATGCTGATAATGACGATGATTGTGCTGATGCTGATGCTGATGATGATGATGATGGTGGTGGTGGTGGTGATGATGATGTCAATAATGGTAACGATGCTGATGCTGCTGCTGATGGTGATGATGACGATGCTGCTGCTGATGATGATGATCACGATGCTGATGATGCTACTGATGATGACGACGATGATACTGATGATGCTGATGCTGCTGATGATGGTGGTGATGCTGATGCTGATGATAGTGATGCTGATTATGATGATGGTGGTGATGGCGATGGTGGTGATGATGATTACGATGGTGATGCTGCTGATGATGAGGATGCTGATGACGATGATGACGACAACGGCTGTGATGATGATGATGATGATGATGATGATGATGATGATGATGATGATGATGATGATACTGATGGTGCTGCTGATACTCATGATGATTGTGCTGATGCTGCTGATGATGATGATGGTGGTGGTGGTGATGATGATGTCAATGATGTCAATGATGGTATCGATGCTGATGCTGCTGCTGATGATGATGATTATGACGACGATGCTGCTGATGGTGATGCTGATGACGATGATGATGAGGATTATGATGCTGATGCTGATGCTGATTGTGATGCTGATGCTGATGATGGTAAATGCTGCTGATTATGCTGAAGATGATGGTGCTGCTGATGATGCTGGTGATGCTGATGATGATGCTTATGTCGACGACGATGATGATGATGATGCTGATGATGATGTTGATGATGATGCTGATCATGGTGATGATGCTGATGATGACGATGCTGATGATGAATGTTGATGATGATGCTGCTGATGATGCTGCTGATGATGCCGCTGACGATGCTGATGCTGATGATGCTGATGATGATGATGATGATGATGATGATGATGATGCTGATGACTCTGATGATGCTGCTGATGATGCTCATGATTATGATGATGCTGATGATGCTGCTGATGTTGATGATGCGGATGATGATGATGATGCTGATGATGCGGATGAGGGAAGGGCATGTGATGCTGCTGCTGCTGCTGCTGATGATGATGATGATGATGATGATGATGATGATGCTGCTGCTGCTGCTGATGATGCTGATGCGGATGCTGATGACTCCTCTCTCCCTCCCCCCCTCCCCTCGAGGAATCGCGGACATGGATTAGCGACGCGTGGATCGGCGACGGATTCCGCTTTCGTGCAGAATCGGTGCGCTTCGTCTCCAAATCAGGCGTCTGGCCTCGCGTTGCGGGGGATTCCTTCCCCGATCCGTGGATCTGGCGCCCACGCGCCAGGTCCACGGATCCCTGATACATGTTTCGTAGCGTGCGCCTGAGGTGGTGGTGGACCCCAGATCGAGGATCGAGGATCAAGGATCCAGGACAGCTCGAAATATTTTAGGGGTCCTCGAGGCCTCTCGAGACTTCCAGAGGCTTGTGCAGGCTGCTGGGCCCCCACGGAGGCCATTGGAGACCTTGAGTCGACGTCGGTCGTCGTTGTCGTCGGCGATGTTTCCGTCGCCGTTGCCGTCGCCGTCGGTTTCGTTTTCATGGTCGTTTCCATCTTGGTTGTCGTCGTCGTTTTTGCTGTCGTGTTCGTTTTCATCGTTTCAGGTGGAGGAGGATGAGGCTGAGGAACAGGAGGAAGATGAGGAGGGGTTGTCGTTGCCGTCCCCGTCGCTGACGCCGTCGTCGTGGTGCTAAGGGTATGGGGGCGAGATGATGGGAAAGGGGGCGTAGAGAGGCAGTTGAATTGGGGAGGGGTGTGGACCAGTAGAGGGGACGGTGAGTATACGTGGAGCGGAAGAAGGGCCCACTTCCTATCGGTCTCCCTCGAGGGGTGGCGGGGCGGGGCGATGCGACGGGGGAACGCTTCAGGAGTCTCCAGCCGCGCCGCTCTGCCGCCGCCCCTCCCAACGAGGATCGCGAGTACGACTGCGACGCAGGCCAGCGCGACGGGGCGGCCGCGCAACGCCATCGGCGCCTTCCATGTCGTCGCCGTCGCCGCCGCGGCCGTCGCCGCCGTCGTCTTTATCGTCGCCTGTGTGATTTATGAATCTTTCTTGTCTAGGGAACCATGATTGCTGACCAATGGGTCAACGATTGCTGACCAACTATGATACTACCGCGTGGATCCCGAACGGTGGCCAGGACCCTGCGGCCAATACCGTCGTGGCGGCCACCCGAAATGCAAGCAGTTCGGCCAGGACCCCGTGGCGGGGACCCTTTTTGGGTGGCTACGCGGAAGCCGGACATGACAGGCGAGGAGTCCGTTGCCAGGACACCATCACGAAGAGCGAGAAGTCAGATATCTCGGCCGCGATCTTGTGGCCAGGACCTTGAAGCTATCCAGCTGCCTGCGGCAAGCCCCCTCGCTGTGCCAGCCTAGCGTTTCGGACGGCGCCTGTTCGAGGGGGCGGGATGCCGTCACTTGTAACACCCTGTGTCTGATGATTATGATGGTTCATGGTGCTTCTGCTGCTGCTGCTGATGATGATAATCCTGATGATGATGATGCTGATGATGATCATGATGATAATGATGGTTGTGATGAGGGGGATGGCAATGGTGATGTTGACGATGACGTTGATGTTGATAATGATGATACTTATGATGATGGCGGCGGAGGTGGTAATCGTGGTGGTGCTGCTGATGCTGCTACTGCTGACCTATGACGATGACGACGACGACAACGACAACGACGCCGACGATGATGCTGATGCTGATGATGCAGATGATGAAGACTATGATGAATAATGAGGTGATGATGATGATGATGATGATGATGATGATGATGATGATGATTATGATTATGATGATGCTGCTGGTGATGATGCGGCTAATGATCATGATGATATTGTTGTGTATGATGATGGTAATGACGATGATGATGATGCTACTGATGATGATACTGATGATACTGATGATGCTGATGATGCTGATGCTGATGATGATGGTGGTGATGCTGATGCTGATGATGGTGATGCTGATTATGATGATGGTGGTGATGGCGATGGTGGTGATGATGATGACGATGCTGATGCTGCTGATGATGAGGATGATGATGACGATGATGACGACAACGGCTGTGATGATGATGATGATGATGATGAGGATGAGGATGATGATGATGATGATGATGATGCTGATGATGATGATGCTGATGTTGCTGACTATGAGTAGGTTGCTGATGATGGCGATGCTGATTATGATGATGTTGGTGATGACTCTGGAGGTGATGATGATGCTGATCTTGCTGATGCTGCTGCTGCTGCTGATGATGCTGCTGCTGATGATGATGATGGTGATGATGATGATGATGATGATGATGATGATGATCATGATGATGATGATGCTGATGATGATGATGATGATGATGATGATGATGATGATGATGATACTGACACTTGTTTGGCCTGTCTTGGGGCTGTCTTGTCCTTCGTCGGGGCAGCCTTGGGGGTCCCTTGGGGCCATCGTGGGGCTGTCTTGGCGCAGTTTTGGGCCGTCGAAGGGTCTTCTAAGGCCGTCTAAGGTCTCCCATATTGCCGTCTTGGGCCATCTAGGGGCTGTCTTGGATGCCTCTTGGGCCATCGTTGGTGGCGCTCTCTTGGGCTGTCTTGAGCTGACGGCAGCCCGAAATGGCTGCGAAGATCATTCTAACACCTAATGGAAATCACTGATTCTGGCTTCGTCCGACCCTGTTGGAGATCCTCTTGTGGCCCTTTTGGGCCCTCTTGGAGGCACCTTTGGCCGTCTTGAAGCAATATTCGGCGTCTTGGGGCCATCTTGGGCCGTCTTCGAGGCATCTTCTGCCATCTTGGTGTCCTTGATCGCCTGCACGGGTCGTCCTGGAAGCTCGGGACACATATCCATCGCTTTTTTACCTGATGATCGTGGCTTCGGAGGCCCTGGAGCGTTTGGGAGCAGCGCCTGGGAATGCGGGAAGTGCACGATCCTCAAGCGGGTGCGCGTGGGATGAGGGGTCTAGGAGGTAGCAGCCATGCGGGATGCGCGCAATCCTAGAGCGGGCGCGCATGGAATGAGGGTTCAAACATTAGCTGCCGTGAGAAAAGTACACCATCCTCGAGCGGGCACGCGTGGAAGGCGGGTTCAGGCATTGACTGTCATGCGGGGTGTGCTCTATTCTCGAGCGGGCACGCGTGGGAGGGGGGTTCAGGCATTAGCTGCCATGCGGGCAGTGCACCATTCTGGAGCGGACACGCGTGGAAGGTGGTTAAGGATCGTTTGACCAGCACTTGACTTCTGCATACAGGCCAGGACTGTATCGGCCGGACCCTGTGGCCGCCACCATACAATCCAACTAGCAAGCCAGAACCCTGGGGCCAGTATCCTAGGGCCAGCGGGCAACTTGAGAGTTCAAACCAATTCTTGAACGCCAAGGGAGGAGCACTCAGTTCAACCACTGCTTGAAAAGCACTTTTTCCACGGCAGCGGGAATAAGACGAGGCTATCAGACGCCCAAGCGAACGACAGAAGGGGGACTTGCAGAGTGTTGCGGGTGTAAGAGCTCGGGGGGGACGGGGGGAGGAAGGGGGGGAGGGGGAGGGCTCTCCTCTTGCCCCCCCTCCTTGTCCTCGTCGTCGTCGTCGTTGTCGTCCACCTCCGTCTCCTCCTCCTCCTCTTCTTATTATCCCCCTCCTCCTCCTCCTCTTATTCTTATCCTCCTCGTCTGCCTGGTCCAGATGGCGGGAAGGGGGCAAAAGCAGGGAGGGGCACGGGGAGCGTGGCATGGTCCTCCCCCGTTGACTGAGGACTCGTCGGGGGTCCTCCTGCTGGGCCGTCAGGGAAGGACGGAGCGTCGGTGGTGTGTCGCCGAAATGACAGCACATTCACAATCTGGGGAGGACCTGGCATCGCTCGGACGTGTGTATTCTGTTCTCGGCGACGACCCTTGAGGAGCATCCTGGATCATCGAGCAAGAGCACGCACAACGCTTACAGACGCGCAGGGAATGGACGTCCGAGCGACGGCAAGAGGAGGACGAGGGGCAGGCGGGCGCGCGCGCTGCTGCAGTACCAGAGCCTGACCTTCCAGTTCCGTTCTCCGTTCAGTTTTTTCTTCGCATCGCTGCCACCAAGACGCGACGGCTCCAGCACGCCAACGCTTGTCCAACGTAAAAAGTAGCGGGGAGGAGGGGTCGAAGGAGGAGTTGGAGGATGAGCAGCATCAGGACCGG